CTGTATAGATATATACTCGCTCATAAACAAACAGCATCCAAAAAATACACTAAAGAAACGAATGAAGAAACCAAACTGGCAGCTTTGGTCAAGACTGATCAGCATCGTTAACAAAAAGGGCCTGCACCTTAAATTAACAAAAGTCATAGCCCATAATAAAGACGCCTTCAACAATCAAGTGAATCAACTGGCAAAATCGGCTAAGGAGGAACTAGAAATTCAATGGGAACCTCTATCAAAAACAATTCCAATTACGGTGCCAGAGTGGAACAGAATTCCCATCGATATCTCAACCAGAGCATTCCTGAAAGATTATAATGAAAGAGAAGTACTAATGCAATGGATATTACAAAACCGGATACAACAAAAGTGGAAAGAAGAAATCCAAAACCCCGAGAAATTCGACTGGAAAGGCCTATGGGACTTTAGTAAGGGGGAAGGGTCCTTAACAACATCCATAAAAACAGCAAAAAGTAGAACATTCAAAGCCAAACTCATTTATAATGAGCTTCCGACCATGGATATCTTAACTAAAAGAGGAGCCCTAGAAACGTCCAATAGCTTGTGTATATTTTGTTAACTTCAGGAAGAGACCATAGATCATCTTTTGATATGTAAGAAAGTACAGGAAATCAAAAAGGACATATGGAACCAGGTCCAAGACAAGCTCATCAAGACGTGGATATCTCAACAGACAAATAAAAAGGAAGACGCAAATATCACGACAATAATTGAACTGATAGACAAATGGAAAGTTGAAAAGTCTGATTCGGTCAAGAAACTGATCAACATAGTTATTGGCCTCTGGACAAAAGAAGATTCAAGAGAATGGACTAATCTACTTCGACCTATAAAGATTTCCAAAATTCCAGCTAGAAGAATTCTCAATAAAATTTCAGACTTTTGGTGTAAGAGAATTAGACAACAAATCTGGAACCCAAGGTGTGAAAAAGTACAAGAATGCAAAAAGTGCTGTTTGGAAAAGGGCAAGGCCAGTTCCGCCTCTAACCAAGACCCAAGCCACTCTCAAAATCCAAAAAGAAAAGGAAAGAAGACCCACCATCAAGATTCACTAGGATCCAAGCCAGGAGAATCCTCCTCAACAAAGACCGGTTCAGACCATATACCAGGAATTGCAAAGGTGTTATGGAGCAAAATCAAAAAAGGAAAAAAATGGTTAGGAATATAACGTAATCAAGATGTTGTCAAGGTGAACTGTAGTGATGAACTGCAGGCGATGAACTTGAATTTTCCCAGGAATGGAAAATGAAAGGGAGCAACTTTATTCATCTCCAAAATCATATCTAGAGGTTAATAGCCAAAGACGGGTATTCAAGTATAAGTGATTAGTTTATGCATAAATGTCTGTAAACAATTATGTCTTCTTTTATAAGATTAAATAAACACAATAAATACTTGTTTGATTACGGGAAAAAAAAAAATTAAAATTAATCACAATTATTAGAAATATGTCAAAAGATCTTGAAATAAATATTCTTTATTTTAATTTAGATAACTTCTCATATAAACTTTTATAATAACTTTTGATAAAGCAATTGATGAAATTAAATAGTAATATTAATTTACAAAGTAGATTATTTATATATTCTAAGTGATTGATAATATATAAGCTGGCTGTATTTAAGCTAATATAAGAAAATGTTTAACGAAGTTCTCTTAAAACCCATCACTTTAGTATAAAATATTGTTTAATATATGGAAATAGTATTTATTTATGACTTCTATAGCATGTATTATAGCAATTTGATTATCTAGTTGTTCAAGATAGATCAAAATTTGACTATTTATATCCATAATATATTCTGGTTTTATAATATGACTAAATCCTACTAATTTGTTAAGCAATTAAAAAATATTTTGTAGTGATGTAATTAACTAGATTCTTTTTTTTTTAGATCTTTCTTCTATATATTATATATAATTGTGATATCAAAAATTCTTTGCGAATTTTTATTATTTTAAAGTTCTAAACCATATCGAAAATTTACTCATTTTAATTTAAGATATCATCATATTTGCTTTCTTTTAATAAACCTATTTTTATCTAAATTTAATTACCAATCAAAAGCAATCTATAAATATTTTTTCATATTAATAAATGTGAGTTTATTAGTTTTATCATTATTATTTTTTTTGAAGATTATGATTTTATCTTCAACTAATATCAAAAAATCTGAAAATATTTTTAATATTTCAAGAGAATTTATAATAAGCCAAGCTTCTCTAATAAGTGTCATGATTAATAAATTATATATGTTTATATCTTGAATTGTCTTGATTTTTTTTGAGGATATTCAATTTAATATATAAAGAGAAATACTTCTTTATCTATTTTCAATATAATAAATCTTATTTTTTATGCATAACTCATAAGTCACAAACTATATACAGTGCTATATATTATCAAACAAGCCAATAAATATATATCAGCAGAGCTGACATGACTAATAATATATAGAAAAAGTTTTGAAAATGTAAAAATAAAATAATTATGAAATTGTATATCTTTATGAATCAAATCAACTACTCTTATTAAAGCACTAAGCCAATGAAATATAGTGATTATAATTATAGTTATGTTTAGTTTCACAACTTGTTAGAGTAAATTTGTAACAAATAATTTAAGTAATTTTTTTGATTATCACAAAAGCAACCTTATTAAAAAGGATATTTATCTAAGCAACATATTTAGAAATAAATATATTCTTAATGAATTAAATACTATCTTATAGTCAGTAACTATTGATAATGATATGTTTGTTTCAATTTCAATAAATGCTTTTTTATGTTCAAATTTCTACTTAAGTTTTATATTTCTATATTTTCAAACTTTTTATAACAATTTCATCTTTTTAGCTAATATCTGCTTTATAATGATAATTATTAAGTCAAACAAATTTATAGTTGATATGGTTATGATAATTTTAGATTCATAATATATTAATAGATAAAAAAATCAAAAGTATAACTATTTAATAAGTTATTAGAAATATATAATCCTAAAGCTAATGGTTTCACTTAGAAGAATAGTATTACTTTTATAAAAAAAAGAAATATACAATTAGAACTCCTATTAATATCACTTCAATACCTGTTTAATATTAATTTAATATTTAAATTTACTATAAATTTATATACTGTAAATGGATCACAATTCATATATTAAATTTACTATAAATTAGTACTATTTCAATATCACTTTGATATCAGTTCAGTACTTTTTGAAGCCCTATATACATTTTCCTACTATAGGTCATGAATCGATGATCAAATTCAACAATAATTAATAATCAAATAAAAATTTTTCTTATCAAATAAATAAAAAATTTAAATATAAAAAAATTTTTTTTTAATATTTTTTTCTTAGAACAATGTTTAAAAAATTTATTTATACATTTAATATTTTGTAGGATTATCTTCAAACTTTATAATAACCTCAATATGATAAGATATACTTTTTACAAGATTGCAATAAATTGATTTATCTTTCTTTAACCACTCTTCTTGTAAAAATTTAAATAATTCTGTTTCACTAGTTGGTAAAGAATTATATTTATAGATTCTATGTTTTAATTCATTTCATAAATATTCAATGGAATTAAGGTCTGAACTTTGAGCAGGTCATAAAAAACAAAAAATATTTTTTTTGTCTATTCAATTTTTTACAATTTTTGCTCAATAAATTGAATAATTATCATTTTGAAAAGTATAACTATTTTGAATGCCAATCTCTTTTAGATATGGTAATAAATTGTTTTAAGAATATCAATGTAATCAATTGCCTTTTGTCATCTATTAATATATACTAATGGACCTAATTGATTAGCCATAAAACATTCCCATATCATTATCCCTCTTCTATCAGATTTGAATATTGGAATAAGGCAATTAACATCATATTTTTCTTTAGGTAATTGCCATACATAATTATAACCATCACCTCCATATACTTCAAAGTGAAATTTATCACTTCAAATAATGTAATCCCACTCAAAAGTCTACTATAAATGCTGTTTTGCCCATTCAAAATGAATTTTTTTATTTTCATCACTTACAAATGGTTTTCTTTTACCAATATGAGCATAATAACCTTCTTTATGAAGGTATCATCTTAAAGTACTTGTAGAAATCTCAATAGAGATTGACTGTATAAATTCATCTTGTAGTATGTTTAATGTGACTTTGCGATCTTTTTTCAAGATGCACAATAAATGTCATGTATCACAGTCTGTTAATACTAGTAATCTTCCTTTTCGAGGTGAAGGTTTTATTTCACCCAAGTCTTCATAATACTTTATTACCCTTTTAACTGTTGTTGGTGCAAATTTAAGGTTTTCTACAATAGTAGAAATACTTGCACCACATTGCCGGGCACCGATTATCTGACTTCGTTCACTTTCAGATAATTCTTTACGTTTTGACGCCATTGCGGAGGAGTTACAAATGGAGTCAAAAAATTTTTTTTATTTTTTGAAACTATTAGAAAAATTCTAACAATGTAAAATTTAGTCGTTTTTTCTTTAACAATTACATGAAAATTAGTCTTTCACGTTTCTTTTCGTTCGCCGATCACTTAAAATAATTAATTATACAATATATCGTAATATAATATGGAAAGTGCGGTTAGAGTACAGTTATGTTAGTCGGAAATACTTATAAAATGTGAAGGGAATAATTTTACAGACCAGCCTTCCGAAACTATTTTTGGAAAATTCATGCTAATCATAAAATCGATTCGTTATAAAAATTATTGGATAATCAAAAATCAAAACACGTCTAGTTTTTTTTCTATTGATATATAATTGATAACATTGACGCTATTCTAAAAGTAAGTTGGTTATATATTACAAGTATTTCGATTTCAACTTTCTGAGCTTGCAAACTGTTAAGCGCGATGGCAGTCTAGTCAAAGTTACTACCATAACCCGTCGCGTAAGACTTTTGGGTCACATAATTCTGCAAGGGTTCGGTTAAGCGCAATGGTAGTCTAGTCAATTGTTACTACCATAACCCATTGCGTAAGACTTTCGGGTCGCATCGAACTTCCTCAGAATACAACTTTCACTGTACTCAACAAAACAATTGCTAAATATGTTCTTTGTCCCTTCTTTGCAAGATCTCCGAAAAAGAGAAATCCAATATTAAATGGATATTAATCTCAGCTAACCCAGCACCACTTGAATTTTACCGACATCTGAATCGCAAGACAAAACGTGATGCCCACGATGCATATCATTTAGCCCTCTCAACGATTTTAACGAAATCAAAAGGTGTTTGTAAAGAGAAGTTAGAGATGCTTAAAGAAATTCAGAAAAAATGGAAGGTGAGAATGAAAACGCATATACTTTAATCTTTTTTTATGATATTAACATAATACATTTGTTCAATATAGAATGACGATTTCAAAAATGACTGGAATAAATATATCGCAGAAAGATCAGCGGAGTCTATTTATTCGAGTTACAAGGTCCAAAGAAGCTACAATTATGAAGTTTCCTCCTGTTCCTTACCAGTAAGCATTTTTTTAAATACTGTATCTGCTATCTTTGAGTTTATTAATTATTGACATTATTTTGTTCAGAAACGGAAGCGCAGTGGTCCATCTACGCCTGACAAGCCAGTTATTCAACCATTAAAACAATTATACCCTCAGGTTTCGTTCACAAGAAGGGCAAAAATTGTCAATGACAAACTTCACAACGAAAACTTGGTGAAAAATGACTCGAATCAGTTAGAAGAGTCAGAAAATGACGATCAGATTGGAAAGCAAGGTAACCATAATGAAAATGAAGAGAATCGTGATGACCATGGTAATCAGGATCAAGTCGTTGCTGTAGATTGGCGTGA